ACTACAATGAAGTTAGTAGTGCCTCATCAAAAATGTAGCTGTTGAGTCTATCGAGGCTCCTGGTAGAAACCGAGTGAAATCCTGGTACTGTTGAAATCAGTGGATTACCACTGACTTCAATAGGGCCAGGATTTCATCTGCTATGAAATGTTTTGGATTCCAGAGCTGTAGAGGAATCTCTACACTGGACAGTGGATATACAAAAAGGAAAGTAGGTTACTTCACTTAATTCTTGTTCTTTGAAAGTACAGGCTCCAAAGTGCCAGGCTGTAGATGACATGATTGGGGCAAGAAATCAGGGAATCTTTTCACACTCAGAGCTGGCAGTTCTTGTGTTCAATGAGCCTGTGTTCAATGAACCATCTGTGTTCCCTATGTCTCTTTGGTCGATCAGAATAGCTAAGAACCACTACTCAAATGTGGTGGATTCGCTTAACTTCTTCATCTATACTTATTGTTAGTTTGAAAATCAGTATTGGAGGAAGTGGGGAGGAACGTAATTCCAACCTTGTGTTCAACGCAACTTAATGAAGCAGCAGGACCATGGTGGCAAAGACTATCACAGGATAGTTTGTCCCACAAGGTAGCAGTTGATCCCAGAGTCAGTGCCACAAGTTGGCATTGGTCACAGCTCACATGCATCATGAGCACCCATGTGTTTACTTTATCATAGATATTTGGCTCATGAAAGTCTTTTCTCAGAAACAAGGTGAACCTTGCCTTTGGGAATTTTATGTAGACAAAATCACGCTTGGGAACTTGAGGTTTCATAGTTTCATAGTTTCATAGTTTTAGGGTCGGAAGGGACCTAATAGATCTTCTAGCCCGACCCCCCGCCAGGGCGGGAGAACAACAAAAGAACCCTAAAAACAAAAAACGGGACTCAAATGAGTCCAGCCAGGTAGGTATCCAGCCTCTTCTTAAAGATCCCCAGGGTAGGGGCCAGCACCACCTCCCTTGGAAGTTGGTTCCAGCTCCTAGCCGCCCTAACTGTGAAGTAGTTTTTTCGGATGTCCAATCTGTACCTCCTCTCCATCAACTTGTGCCCATTACTCCTTGTTATGCCAGCGGGGGCTAGGGGAAACAGCGTCTCCCCCAAACCCTTCTGGTTCCCCCTAGTGAGTTTATAGACGGTCACCAGGTCCCCCCTCAGCCTTCTCTTGTGGAGGCTGAATAGGTTCAGGTCCCGCAGTCTCTCACTGTAGGGTCTGCCCTGTTGTCCCCGGATCATGCGGGTGGCCCTCCTCTGGACCCTCTCCATGTTGTCCACATCCCTCCTGAAATGGGGCGCACAGAACTGGACACAATACTCCAGCTGCGGCCTGACCAGCGTCGCATAGAGGGGGAGGATCACCTCCCTGGCTCTACTCGAGATGCACCTGTGGATGCACGACAAGGTCCGGTTAGCCCTGCCAACCATGACCTCGCATTGTCGGCCCATGTTCATCTTGGAGTCAATAATGACACCAAGATCCCTTTCCGCCTCCGTGCTCTCAAGTAGGGAGTTCCCCATCGTATAAGTGTGCTGCTGGTTCCTACTACCCAAGTGCAGCACCCTGCACTTGTCCGTATTGAAACACATCCTGTTCCTGTTTGCCCACCCCTGTAACCTATCCAGATCCTTCTGCAATCTCTCTCTCCCTGCTAGCGTGCTCACCTCCCCCCAAATTTTGGTGTCATCAGCGAATTTAAACAGGTTGCTTTCCACCCCAACATCAAGATCGCTGATGAAGAAATTGAACAGCGCAGGCCCCAGGACCGAGCCCTGGGGGACTCCACTACCCACCTCCCCCCAAGTCGAGTATGATCCATCCACCACCACCCTCTGAGTGCGACCCTTCAGCCAATCTGCAATCCATCTGACTGTGTAGGCATCTATGCCACAGTCGCCTAGTTTATTAATTAGGATGGGGTGAGAGACAGTGTCAAAGGCCTTGCTGAAGTCCAGAAAGACTACATCCACCGCGACACCTGCGTCCATGGCCTTTGTGACCTGATCATAAAAGGCAATCAGGTTGGTCTGACATGATCTCCCCCTAATAAATCCATGCTGATTGCCCCTGAGCATCATTTCTGATGCCGGCCCATCACAAATGTGCTCCTTGATGATCTTCTCAAAGAGTTTCCCCAGGATTGAGGTAAGACTGACGGGCCTATAGTTGCCCGGGTCCTCCCTTTTCCCTTTCTTGATGGGGACCACATTAGCTACCTTCCAATCGTCTGGCACCTGGCCCAAGCACCACAATCGCTCGTAGAGCCGTGCCAGGGGCCCTGCAATAACCCCAGCTAGCTCCCTCAGCACCCTGGGGTGGAGAGCATCCGGACCCGCTGACGTGAACGCGTCCAGCCCCTCCAGAAGCTCTCTAACCCGGTCCTCCCCAACCTGAGGTCTGAAGGCGATCCCCTCGCGTCCGGCTTCTATCACAGCAGGGAAGTCCCGGTCCCTGCACAAGAAAACGGAGGTGAAGAATTGGTTAAAGAGGTTCTTTGGGAAGTAATGTAAAGATCATATGACAAACATCTAATCTTAAAATGCTTTGCTTCAACAGAGGAAGAGGAAATAAGGACTAAGAGTGGGAGCATGATTATTTACATCATTGGTCCCAGCTGTCTTTGTACTACTACTGTGCAACTCTGATGGCATATTTATGAAGAAGAGACCACAATATACCTTACCAACCAGTGTAGTCCATGTTATGACTGAAAAAGAGAGCACTCCTCCACAATCCAGCTTCTCATTCCATTTGATCTTGCAAGGAAGCATAATTGTGTGCTAGTGGAATGGCTGATCCTGTCAAAATAATTACATTATCAGTTTGGCACTATGACTTCAATGCAGGATCTGAGGGCAGAGGTGAAAGAGAAAATCTGTTTATTAGAGAAATGATAAATAATTAAGCCAGTGACATTAGGCTTTAAATTATACTGTTTTAAAATGATTAATTAAAAAGATTTGCACTGAATAAATTCAGTGTGAATGGACTGTATCTGAAAGGTGCTAGATAGACAAGGGGAAACCATGATTCAGTTAATGACAATACAAACTTTCTTTTCTGTTCAGGATCAGCCATCTCCAAGATTGAGAGGCCAGTTAAATTCCTATGCATTTAACCCATAGCTTCTAATAGTTCTCTAATAACCTAGAGTCTCTCTCTAATAACCCATAGTAACCCATAGTCTCTAATACAGACTAATAGTTGTGATGTCCAGTAGGAAATGGATGGAGATTGAGGCTATAAAACAGCCTTTAGAGGATGATATGGATGGAATAGTAACTTAAGAAGAAGTGACCAAGATCTCATCTGGTGTCCCATGAACGAAAGGTAATATTTTCAAAAGTGCCCAAGTTACTTTTGAAAAATACCTAAGTTAGGAACTTAACTCTTCTTTCAAATGTAACTTGGATGCTAAGCCCCATAGAAAGTAACTTTTTATCCAATTTTTCAATGTGAAACTTGCTTTGACTTAGCACTTGACATCATAGGTACAGACTTTTACTTTTACCTAAGATGATGCCCTCCCGCTGGTGGCTGGAGCAGAGCTGAGTGATGCCTGTGAGGGTGTGGGGACAGATGCAGGCTGCCCGCTGCAGGCTTGGAGCTCCCCCTCCTGCTGCCCTCCTCCCAGGAGCTCCGCACCAACTGCACCACCATGGTGAGTTGCCCCCTGCTGACCACAGCAGCAGCGGGGGGGCACAACTCCACGCTGCTGCACCCACTGTTGTCAGACAAGCAGGGGCCACCTTGCCATAGCGATGAAATCGGTGCAGAAATGCCAGGGGAAAGGCAGTGGGGCAGGAAGCCCTAAGCCTGCAGCTGGCAACAGGGCAGGGAGCAGACAGCCTGCATCTGCATCCACCCCTGCCCTGTGCACAAATCTGGGGGGCATGAACCCCCACCATTCCTCCCTCCCTGGGAGTGTGTGCAGCAGCAGGGAGCCCTGCCCTGTCCCTGGGCCCCATATACCAGCCTGCCTGGGCAGTGTACCCAGGCCCAACTCCTGCTCTACTCCCTTTCTCACCATGGGGGCCTCAATCTGTGTCCCCTCCCTCCCCACCCACACACACAGACTTACCTGTAGGCAGCCGGTGGAGCGGCTCTCCACCGCTGCCTGAGGCTGTATTCCCAGGTCACGTGCATGTATGCACACGTGCATGTGATGCCCCCTGCGTCCTGCTCCCCGCAGTTCCTTGCAGGCTGGAACTCTGGATCCCTGCATGATACTGGGAGTCTGGGACAAATGCCAGCCTGGAGTCATGCAGCTTGGGACCAGTTCCCATTTTGGGACTGTCCCAGTCCTGCCCAATTAGGGACAGGGTGGTCACCCTACCCTCTTCCCAAGGCCTCGGGCCCCAACATACCTGGCGCCTATGCTTGACATATTAAGCCTTATTAAGATTAACGATTGTCTATGGATTTAAAAGGCACAGAAGCCCTAAAGTCTGCCATTTTGGACTTTTAGGGATACCTGTTTGCGAGAGAGCTGGCCTCTATTTTTTGTTGGCCTGCATGGGATGCACCTTAAACTGGCTGGAGACTGAAGCTGGTGCATAAAGCAACAGCTGTTACAAAATACAGCACCTCCTTGTGAGCACCTGGCATGTTTATTGTGGGATCTACACTGACTGTTCATTGATCTAAATAGACGAATTGCATGTGTCCCTATCTGACGGACTGCCTTTCTTGTCAGGCCATAATGCCATTGCTGTGGTCATAAGGGGCACCTGAGCTGGTATTCTTCATTATAAAAGAAAGGGGAAAATGGTGAGAAGTTCTCTGAGTCCCTGGTCCTTGATCTGAAAGAGTGAATGTGGTGACTTTCTGACTACACTGCCAAAGACAGCTGCATGAGAGATGTTTTAAACATGGCTGAAGGGATGGTCCCGCTATAATGAAGGAACCAGGTAGGCTGATTGACTGGATAAGTTCCTGTGAAACCAATTATTTTAATTCTTATTGTAACTGCATTTATCATATAATTAATGTTAGGTGCTGAAAGCCTTGGGGTAGGCATTTTATTATTTTTAATCTAGGGGGAGAATAAATATTGCACCGTTATTAAACCAGCGCACTTTTTATAATCTTTGACTAGGTTGGTAGAACATCACACCTTTAGTTAAGCTCATGTGACTTCTGTGTTTTGACAAGTCCTGACTAAACAGCTTTTCTGGTCTGTTACTCAACTTTCAGTTTCTTTGTGATGCTATAATTTCATTGTTCTCTGGTCCTCACCTCAGTTTCCAACAGGGGACAACATCTGTTTTCTTCATGTAAAAAGCAAGCAGAGGAAAAATGTTTGTCAACTTTGCTGTTTTGCCTTACAAAGTGTCAAAAATGGAGAGATGGCCTTTCTACTTCTCCTTCTCCCATCTTTGCAGGTCATCTTAAACACCATTACTCATGTTCCCAATCATGTTGCAACCTTAGTGTCAACCTTGACTCCTCCTTCCTTCTGTTCCACCTTGCTAAGCATTTGACCCACTGTTTCTATCACTGAAGTTAGGAGGAAAACTCCAACTGAATTCAATGGAAGCAAGACCAGCTCTCTCATGTGTTATTTCTTATACAATATTACAAAAATTCAGCCTTTGCTCTTTGCTGCAACTATCAAAGCTTAAGCTCAAGACCTGGCAATCTCTTCCATTGACAGTAATGCCAACTGTCGCAAAACCATTCTGAGACAGAATGTCAAAGTCAAAATAATTCCGACTTGCGATCTCCTGATCCAGCCCTCACCAGCTGGGAAAATCCAGACATTTAAGTGT